AGAGTGGCTCGATCTCGGCGGGGAGAGAGGAGATAAGGGAGGAGAGAGAGAGAGAGAGAATGAAGGAGGTGACGATTTCACGTGAATAAAAGAAGGAAAAAGAAACGAAAAATATATATAAATATATAGGATTAGGGTTTAGGTATTTAACAAAATTAACTAATAAAAAATATAGTTACTTATATTTTAAATCAAATAATTATGAGAACATTATCTACAAAATAAAACGTACCAGTTATACTAATATAATAGATAATATGTAATAGTAGTAATAATACAACAAATTGTACAAATAATACGTAATATTAATAATAATACACTATATTACACGAAATAATACGTAATAGTAATAATAATACAACATATTATTTAAAATGTTACATAATAGTATCGATAACACAACAAATTAATTCCAGAAATTTTTTCTGCACTAAATTAATTTATAAATATCAAAATCATTTAAATAAATATAAAATTTGAACTTTTAAATCGTAGAAAATTCTAGAAAATCGAGAAAAATACAAATACTCTTTAAAAAATAATTAAATATTTTAAAATACCGAGAAATTATTTTAACTAGTATCGAAAGTTCACGGTTATTACAAGTATACTTATAACTGCATAGTCTACATTATATATATTTATATTCTTATATCTTAGTATCTATACCATACTAAGAGTATATATATATAATGTAGACTTTAACTAGTATCGAAAGTTCACGGTTATTACAAGTATACTTATAACTGCATAGTCTACATTATATATATTTATATTCTTATATCTTAGTATCTATACCATACTAAGAGTATATATATATAATGTAGAAAAGAGTTGATTTGAACCGAAAGTCGGTTATAAGCCAAGGGAATGCTCCTGTGGTCGATCGTTGCTGAGGATGAACGTCGATCGCCCCCTTGCTGCCCAAAAAGAAGGATCCCAGAGCCCAGAGCCAAAAGCCAGCCAAAAAGGAGAGCCCGAACTCAGTTGAGTTTCCCACTATTTATAGGGGGTTTAGGGGTGGCAACTGCCCCCTTAATTAGCTCCTCCATGGGCTGAGTGGGGTGTAACCACCCCCTCTTAAACAGCTCCCGAAATAGTGGGGAAAACGGTTTTGAAACCGTTCTGTTAGTGCTTTGAACGAGTCAAAACGCTGAAAACAGCGTTCTGGGCCTTAACTCTGCGTCTTATTGATGAGACGCAGAGTTGGGCGCTTGTTGGGAGTTGAAAACGCAAGGGCCGCTTGCGTTCGGACCTTAACTCTGCGTCTTAAAGATGAGACGCAGAGTTGGGCGCTCGCTGGGAGTCGAAACGCACAGGCCGCATGCGTTTTAGAGATGAACTCTGCGTTTTAGGCTAAAAACGCAGAGTTGGGCCTGTTTAAAGGCTGAAAACGCACAGTTGTGCTGTTTTAGGAGATGAACTCTGCGTTTTAGGCTGAAAACGCAGAGTTGGGCCTGTTTAAAGGCTGAAAACGCACAGTTGTGCTGTTTTAGAGATTAACTCTGCGTTTCTAGACTGAAAACGCAGAGTTGAGCCTGTTTAAAGGCTGAAAACGCACAGTTGTGCTGTTTTAGAGATGAACTCTGCGTTTTAGGCTAAAAACGCAGAGTTGGGCCTGTTTAAAGGCTGAAAACGCACAATTGTGCTGTTTTAGAGATGAACTCTGCGTTTTAGGCTAAAAACGCAGAGTTGGGCCTGTTTAAAGGCTGAAAACGCACAGTTGTGCTGTTTTAGAGATTACCTCTGCGTTTTGATGTTGTAAACGCACAGTTGGCCTGTTTAAAGGCTGAAAACGCACAGTTTGTGCTGTTTTAGAGATGAACTCTGCGTTTTAGGCTGAAAACGCAGAGTTGTGCCTGTTTAAAGGCTGAAAACGCACAGTTGTGCTGTTTTAGAGATTAACTCTGCGTTTCTAGACTAAAAACGCAGAGTTGAGCCTGTTAACGGCTGAAAACGCACAGTTGTGCTATTTTAGCGATTAACTCTGCGTTTTGATGTTGAAAACGCAGAGTTGAGCATGTGCGCTTTGACTCTGTAATGCAGAGGCGAACCTTAGGCGGGCTTGGCGGGCTTCAGGCTGAGTTCAATGTTCTGACGAAGTCCAGTCTTGCAGACGGACTTCAGAACATAACTTGCTAAGAAGAACAGGTCATAACTTTCAAACCGTACGTCGGAATTGGACGAATTACATATGAGGTCATAACTTTCAAACCGTAAGTCGGAATTGGACGAATTATATATGAAAATCGGCTATCTCGACGAGACGGGGCCATCTGAACCTAGCCGTAGGCTTTGGTTCGCTTCCTCCGTTTCGCCAAATTCCTTACGGTTTGAGAGATATCTGCATTCTAATATGAAGAGACCGTCAATTTGTAGTCTCTTTTGCTAGAGCTTTGCACAGATCGTCCTCTTGTAATCTTCGTCTTGGCTCCTTAAAAATATGAGAGTCGTCAGATTGTAACTCCCGATGTTGATTGTGAAGGCTGTTGAATTAGAGATTTCATCAGTTGTCGTGAAGGTCCTCAAATTGTAGCCTTCTGGAAGTCGTCAGATTGTAACTTCCGTCGTCGGTGTTTGATGGGGAATAAGCTATCTATTGTGATTTTTAGACAGCCTACATTTAGGTTTTTATTCGCATACGGTTATCGGGTCGAAATTACGGATACGATCCGAATATCTGGATATTTAAAATGCGCTAAGGGGGGGTTAGTCACCTAGAACTTTTTAAGTAGAACTGGTATAATTGGTAAAGTGAGATAATTTTTTAACACTGGGATAATTTAGTGGAACAATGATGGATAATTCTTAAAGTTGGATAATTTGGTACACTGGGATAATTTAGTGGAACAATGATGGATAATTCTTAAAGTTGGATAATTTGGTAGGATAATTTGATGGGATAATGGTGGATAATATTTGGTAGGATAATTTGATGGGATAATGGTGGATAATATTATGAAAGGGATAATTTGGTGGGGGTAACGGTGAGTATAAATTATTATTGTTAATAGTTGTATATTAAAAATAATATAAGATTGATAAGCAATTGATTAGTCTAGTAATAACTATAAAATATAATGCAATAAAACATCACTATTCATCTCAAATAATAAAATATTTTACAACTAAATAAAAATCTAAATTCCTAGAGTGACTCGACTTCCATCATCCCACATGGCATCTGTCATAGAATTTCTCCAAGCTCCTACAGCTGCTCGTTGAGTCTGTTGAGTCTGTAACTCATCTTCTTCATCGGAGTCATCATCTGCATCAGCAACATTTCGTGGAGCTTCTAGTGGAAGATCATAAATGTCGAAGTCATCATTTGTATTCTCTAATCTTAAAAAGTTATGCAATCCTACGCATGCAACGAACATCTTTATTTGTGTGGCATATGGAAAACCTGGAGGTTGGCTCTTGAAAATAGTGAATCTTGACTTAAAAACTCCAAAGATGCGCTCGACACAATTTCTAAGAGACGCATGCCGATGATTGAAAACTTCTTTTGAATTTCGTGGTCGTTGTCGATTATTAGCTGGGCCGAACTCTGAAAGATGGTACCTTTGACCTCGGTATGGAGCAAGAAATTGTAGCCTATTTGGATAGCCGCAGTCAACTAGATAAAATTTATCTACAAACAAGAATATAAATATGAATGAGAAAAAAATTGTAAAACTAAAAAATATGCTTTAATTGATGGAATACTATGTAAAGATTATTACTCTGTGGAAGTGGGAGTCCATAAGGTCTACTCATTGCATCCTTCAAGACTCTTGCATCATTAGCAGAACCCTCCCACCCAGCTAAGACATAAATGAATTTGAGATCAAATGTGCAAGCTGCCAAGACGTTCTGAGAGAGAAAACCATGTCTATTTCGATATGGCGTCTGATCTATGTTATACACCATGCACGGTATATGAGTCCCATCTATTGCACCGATACAGTCCTGAATAATCAATGTGTCAGACCATCTCAAGTGATGTGTGTGGGGGCATGCACGCATGTGTGCACGTGTGTGTGTCTGTGTGTGTGTAAATTCTAAAGCAATAATAATTACCTTGAAATAAGGCCAAAAGCGAGATTCTGATTTAACCTTATCAGGTGGATCAGTAGGGGGTGATGCCATCAAGCATGATGCTAAAGATACCAATGCATGTAATGCTTTATTGAAACATACACTGATGGTCCATTTTGAACGATCAAATAGATCCGTTGCAACAGAGTATCGTTGATTCTGACTAACCGTAAGAAGAAAAATAACAATCATCTCCTCAACACTAATGTGGTATGTGTCTTGTATATGGCCCCGCTCTCTCAAGATATTGCATAACTTCATGAAGCAATCTGGGTACATACGGTAAATTCTACGAAAATCTTGAGGATGATTATCCATCTTGGACTGTAAGTATGTGAGACCAAGATCTGTAATACCACGTCGAGGACTTCGAAAATTAAGCGTATTTGCTATGAACTCCCTTGATAGACATCCTGATACCTTTGTGATCAGATCTGCAGCCTCAGCAACTAATTCGATTACGCGAATCAAAAGATTATCATCGAAGTCTTTTCATGATGAAAATATAAAATGGGCAAATTTTGATCTTCCTCCATCCTATTAAATAATATAACCAATGAAATATAATCAATTTACATGAAACTTATGATGTAAATTTCTGTGTGGTAGGGTCCCAACCAAAACCAGAGTTATTTTTCATCAGGATCTCCACAGGTGCAATCTTTCTCTTCCATTGCTTTATCTTGTTCATTACATGATTATATCTAAAATCTTTTCCAAAATTTTCAACTAGAGGGGGTATCACATTCTTCAGAATCACATACTTTTTAAAACTGCCATTTGCTTGCTTATTTCCATTCTTAACTTCCTCTACTAACAGTCTAAGCAATTCGTTAGCCTCTGCTTCAGTCCATGTCATATAATCCATCCTTGCTCTTTTTTGTCCCTCACTTTCTAGACCTCGAAATATTTCTTCTTGATCCTGACTCTGTGATCTTATGTCCATCCTATAACAAATTCAAAAATAACTTTTCAAAATCTCAAATATAGAATTGGATTAAAATATTGGTGATGACAGACTAAACATGATGGTTAACAAAGTGAGCTTGAAGTTGCACAAACAACAATATAAACTTGATCATAACAGTTGTAAATTCATGGATCATGCTAATATATTTCATGGATCATGCTTATATATTTCAGCTAGTATTATTAGCACTTAGTTGATTGTTGTGCAAATATGGTGGAAGCTTAATATCATATATTTAAGCAGTATCATGTTCTAATTATAAAAGCTTGCATATCATGTAAGCTTGCATATCATACACAAGATATTATGAAATTTTTGTCTATTGCAACATAAACCCTAATTTCATATAAACCCTAATCATAAAAGCTTGTGTATCATATAAACCCTAATTTCATGTAAACTTATTTTTTGTCTATTGCAACATAAACCCTAATTTCATATAAACCCTAATCATAAAAGCTTGTGTAATGGATTGTCCACTTTTATCAGCATGTGGATCCGATAGATTTAGACCCGTATAAATTAAATAATTTTTTTTATCAAACAGAAAGAATTATCTAGTGATTTTTATTTATTGGATAATCGGTGTATCTTAAGACGTACGAGGACGTTCTTGTTTTTTCACAAGGATTAAATGGTGTAGTTGAGAATTTGTATATTAATTTCAAAAACTATTAATTTTATTCTTAAAATATTAACTGACTATCAATTAATTGGACATTGATCTGACAAAAAAATATTTTGACCACCGCTTGGACTATTGATACGTAGAAGCACAGAGACAGAAAACCATTAAAATACCAAAGCATTGATTGCTACCTGATCTCGTGGAAGCATACATACCAAACCATTAAAATACCAAACCATTAAAAAAACTATTGATACGTAGAAGCACATAGGTTTTCCCCCTCTACCATGAGTCCATTCATACGTATGAAGACACAAAATTAGATGAAAAAGTTTGAAATTAAAATCCAAAGCATTGAAGTTAATTTACCTGATCTCGTGGATGGGAAAATCACGGAAGCGCCGTTCTCTTTTTTTCCCCAATTGTTTCTTTTCAATGTGTGGGATAATTTTTGAGAGGGGAACTTATGGCTATATATATATGTAGTAAAATTAGTGGGATAATTATGATAAATTATCCCAATTCTAATTCAAGTAGAATTCTACTTGACTAACACACAAAATAAATAATACAATTCTAGTTCTACAAAAGTTCTACTTGACTAACACTATAAAAAAATATCCCATTTCCTAATTCTATGTGACTAACACCTTAAAAATTTATCCCACAGATTATCCCAATTCCAGATTTAAGTTCTAGGTGACTAACCCCCCGGGAGCCTATAACATGTACGCAAGTTATCCGCAACCCGACCCAAATTCAACTCAAAAGAACTCGAGAGAGTCCTAGAGTCTTCTTTCCAGATCGCAACCCGCCTCGGACTCCAAGCCTCCTCCGAGCTCCACCTCCGCCTCCGCCTCCGCCTCCGCCTCTTCGCGGCTCAACTCTTCAAGAAGTCCGACTCTCTAGCATCCGAGGCCTCAAAGGCTGTCGCCAGGGTCACGGGCAAGCCTGAACAAGTGAGTTCTCCCTCTCTTAAACCCTAACCTCTCTAATTCATGTTATATTTCCTTTCTTATGAATTCATGGGGTTTTTTCTTCTTGATGCCATTGTACTGATTTAGTGACTAATACGAGGAAGTGGGTTTTTGCTATAATGAGTTAGGATGAATCTGGGTCAATATATAAGCTTCGTTAGGAGATTTAGCTGACTTAGTACATTTTCAGAAACTACAGGTTCCGGTATTTGATAAATTTGGTCCTAATTGAACTTTTTCGGTGAGTCGGAGAATTGAGAGAACCCATTTCCTCATGGGGTGAAATTTTTTGAGAAGCTCGGTTATTTTGTATTACATGGATTTAACTGCATCCTATGTAGTATCTTTGGTACGGTAAGCGCAATGTTTGTTCCCTTTGTTAGTTCTTCAGTGTGCAATTAGACTTGTAAATGATCATTCTCCTTTAGGCACAGGGTGTGAAATTGGTAATCTAAATGTATTTACTTTGCTAGGGGATAACTTAAGCTTTATCCTCTAAAGCTCCTTCTGCTGCATCGAAACTCTGTAGTTGTGGTGAAGGGTGAGGGTTATGTTTTTACACTCCAACATACACCTCTGCAAATTGAGTGTTCTTTTCATGGGTGAAACTACAGTGAGGATTGATACTTCAGATAAACATTGAAAAAAAACATTGATGGATTGAATTGTTTTTTATTATTAAGACAACTTCTTGGGGAAAAAAAAAGAAAAAGAAAAAAGAAAAGGTTAAAATGACAAAGAGATTTTTTTTTTCTTTTGGTTTTTTGTTGAAAACAACTTTAAGGTTTCTTAACAACTGAACAGTGCCTGCAAACACAAGTGTACGACATATGCATTTGAGGTTTTGATTGTATTTTATTTTTATTCCATGCAAATAATTACGATAAAAGTTTTCTTGTTCATCTTCATCTCTTAGTGTCCTTCCTTCTTTTGTCAACTTACCTTACTGGCGTGCAGCTTATAGCCTTCAATATTGAAGGCAATGACAATTTTTAGGAGAAAATTTGTGTTGGTCATATAACTGCGCATATTCTGTATGACAAACCTCATGACATCATAACAGGCCCTAAACAAAAAATAAAAAATATTGAATACCATAACTAAAATCATATGTATTTTTTGTCATATCATATTCATATCTATTTCCCAAATATCCGATTAGTATCCGTATCATATCTGTATCCGACTCTCTAATATCCGAACCATATCCGTTTTCGTTTAATGCGGATATAATAATGCTTTTTTCTTACTGATGAATATCTGAACCGTATCCGTATTCGTTTTTAAAAAGTAGTTATGGTTATGGTAAGTGTGATATCCGAACCGTATCCAAACCGAATGCACCCCTACTGGGGAGTAATGATGAAGTGCTATGTACATCTTTCCAAGAAGACTCACGAGAGCATCCACCTCATCACCAAGGAGATCAACTTGAATTCCCAATATCGACGAAAAACAAGATCCTCAGCAAATATAATGACCACAAATAGAAGAGTTGATCCTTTTCATGCTTTTTGTTGCATGATTATCAGAGGAGAAGCATAAGTATGCACTTTAAAAGTAATCCTTTAAGAAAACATGCGTGCGGAAACTTTAATTTGCAGTGCGTATCACCTGATAGTAGGTTGAGTGGAAGAAGGATTTTATGATAGACTTTGAAATTTAGAAGTATCTTATAGGTCTTTTATGAAGTACGAATTACTGCAACAATGGATGATCAACTTAATATGCCCCTTTTGTGAAGAAAAAATAATTTAATAATCTATATCTATATCCATATCCGTACTACACATAAAAAAAGATTGGAATGCTAAAACTTTTGAATGCCCTTTTACTCCTCTTAAATTTGATAATTTCAACTTTACTCTAATTATTTTCTTTATTTGATTTATTTTAAGGTCTCATTCAATGAGTCTTAAATTAAATTAAATGCAAATCATCGTAATGATAATATTTAATTAGTCTTAGGCTCTTAAAGATCCCATAACTTATTTAATAAATGCATATGTTATGGATCCAATTAACTAACCCACTCTTTTATTTTTTTTTCCTTTACATAACCTCTTTTTCATCTCTATATTAAAAATGATGACCATCCATCTTCAACTCATCACATTACATGCTAAGCTAAATATCTATACAAACACAATGGTTTATGAAATATGTTATGTGGAAATTTTGTCAAATGGTTTATAGTGTACGTGGCTTGCATATGTATGTACACATGCATACATTGGATAATATTTATCAAATGGTTTGTAGACTTAAAGATTTATTTTTTATGGAGTTGAAGATTATGTTTCATGTTCAATTTGTGGCTCTTCATTTGTGTTTTTTTTGAATCCTTGAAAAAGAGAAGGATAATAGACTATAGGAAAATTATTTAAGAGTATGTATACATCCGATTTGGGAACCAAAGATTGTTTTTAGTATGTGCATTTTTTTATCGTGAATCAGGTAAGATTCCTAGTGATCTTTTAATACATTGAAAGAACATATGGTCTTATTTTTCAAGTTTATCCAAAGCCATTTAAAGATTTTTCCTCCTTGCACAATGTTGTGAAGAGCTTTTTGTGATATTTGTTATAAGTTGCGCCTTTTCTTTTGAATACAGGTCATAGGTTGTGCTTTCTTGTTCATTAGATGTATTCATGGTTTAATTCTTAATTGATTACTTGATTCATATGCACTTTTAGTTCCCTTACCGAACGCTTTCAATGTTAATTGTCATTTTGATTTTCTTACCTCTATTAAGCATCTTTTATGTTCTTTCATTAATAATTGTGTTGAATCATAAAGCTTTGTTTGTCTTCTTTTTGATTAACCACCGATATATTCTTTGTTCCTATCAACTTTAGGCTACAAAAATTAACTAATAAAACATATTGGCTATCTATTGTCTACTCATTGAGTAAATCAGAATAAACAAACCTATATACGACATATTTGATTGAATTGCATAAATATTTTGATTTCTTGTATGAAATCTAGATTAATTTGTCTCTGTTGCGCGCAGCGAAAATTTCGACAGAGTTTCTGGTGCACAATAAGAGAGAAAGATCAATAAGAATTACTGTCTCACCAAGAAAACAAGAATCTAAAGCGAATATCTCAATAAAGTAAGATATCGGCTCTTCCTCTCATCGGTTCTAGGACTGACTTGTCGAGGGATCCTAAAAAGTAAAAACTATTATAATGATCATAAACACAAACAAATTAATTTTACGTGGTTCGGCAAACTGCCTACGTCCACGGGGCAAGGAGGGGAGAGATCTACTATTAGAGAGAGAATGCAACTAGGGTTTACAATCACTCAATCTAAACCCTCACACAAACTCTCGGATCCCTCACAAAAGGGATACCAAAATCCCTCTCAAAAGTCGCTGATTTTTCTTCACCAAACACAGCCACACGAACTCCTATTCTCCTGCTGCGATTTTTTCTGCCGCAGCCGCTAAAAATCCGTGCACCTCCTTCGCTATCAAAGAAGAAATATGTATCCGACTTTTTCTCTCCTGCACACCCTCAATTGCACACTCCATGAAAACCTAAGAGCACTTAGCTTTATAGGCATGAATTTGCTTTTTCGGGTGGGCCAGTTTAGCTCGCTGAAGCCTCCAAAAAATCATCACGAGTTGAGTTCGGATGTGGCCCCCACGCGTTTTCTTTTCACGCGTCTTCTTTTGGCTCTTCACGTGAGTTCACAATTCTCCACCTTGGTGAAGTTTTTTCAAAACTGAGCCAACACCAACCAAATAAATGTCCCACTTGTTACGTTCAGGACGAAGTGAAAACAATTCACGACAACGGACTTAATCCACAACAAGTCGAGACCCAAACAAGAGTGCGAATACTCTCCCAAACGTCGATGTCTACTCACCAAATCGGTCTCACCCCCATCAAATAATCCAACCCGGCTGCATCATAAAGACTGCCTACGTATCCTCTTGTCCAAGGAATCAAGCCTCACGTAGTTTACCCAAATGGTCGCGAACGACCTCAATCCAATAGAAGAGTTCGCAACCCTTTTCCAATATCAACTCTGTGGCTGATAGCACCTCCAATGGTCTCAAACACCTCCACCTGAGGTGAACCAATGGTCATATCCAAACTATATCTATTAGCTGCACTCGAATCAAAACCTAACTCATCATCTGCATCCAGAACCAAATGATCTCCAAACTGTGTCACCTCAGTTGGAATCCCAAACGATGCAGAATGATCTGGAGTATATGGAATAATCTCCACCCAATGTGAAATAGCATCAATCTCCACCTGTTGCGATACAATTAAGGTCTGTCCAAAACTCTCCACCTGCTGAGAGTCAATTGGCTTCCTCATCGAAACCTCATCCAAAGTGACACAATCAGACCTATCTTCCAATAGAGTTTTACCTCCAATCACAGCAGTTGATAACTTTTTAATAGGATGACTCAAATATGTCAAAGTCTCAGTCCAGAACCTTTTCTGTAAATCATTGCTTGACCACAAACACCGATCCTCCTCCAGCAAGATACGGTTCTCCAAATTTGTCATCCTATCAAGTTGTCATTAGATTTTCTTTCCAACGAAGTGTTTTGAAATGTCGTGAGCTCGGCTCATTACAGAAACATATCCATCTTATACCTCCCACCAAAATCAGAATAAAGTACCTTCACCTTTCTGTCCATCTTACACTTCTTCAAACTGTTAGAGACTACTAGGACTTTATCCATAGGGGATTTGGTTGCAATCCAAACACGCCTAGAACAGCCACCAATAAAGAAAATCAAACTTCTATTACCTCCCAATGATGCCCCCTTGGAAGGCCCCCAAACATTCACGTGAACTCCTCCAGAACGATCCTTAGCGCGGTGAATAGAGGTGCCAAACTTCACCTTAGTCTTCTTGCTCACATCAATATGTTCATCAGATTTCAAACTGCAGGTCTTCGCACCCTCTTTCAATCTATGCAAGAAATCAATACAGGAATGGTCAAGCCC